ATCGGCTGCAAAGGTCCTCTTTCAAGTGCTGAGGAGCAAAGATATATCCTTGAGGACTAAGGTGTGCCTGACACTAGCCATGGTATTTTCAGTCCCCTCCTATGTATGTGAGAGCTGGACAATGAATAAGGAAGACCGAAGAAGAATTGATGCTTTTGAGTTGTGGTGCTGGCTAAGAATGCTGAAAGTACCATTGGACTGCTAAAGAACTAACAAAACTGCCCTGGAGGAAGTGCAGCTGGAATGCTCCTCGGAAGTGAGAATGGCCAGACTTCATCTCACCTACTTTGGTCATGTTGTCAGAAGGGACCATTCCCTGAAGAAGGATGTCATACTTGGTAAGGTGGAGGGTTGAAGAAAGGGGAAGACCCTCAACAAGATGGATTGACACAGTGGCTGTGGCAATGGGCTCAAGTGTAGCAAGGATCATGGAGCTGGTGTGGGACTGGGTAGTGTTTTGTTCTGCTGTACATAGGGTCGAGATGAGTTGGAGATGACTTGACAGCACCTAATAACAACACCACCCCCACAAAGATACCATTCACCTTATTTATGTTATTAGCAAGATTCAGCTACCATGCAACTTTCGGTTGGGAGCTCTGGTGGTGTAGTGCTTAAGGCATTTGACTGCTAACCAGAAGGCTGGAGGTTCGAACTCACCAGCCACTCCTCGGAAGGAGGGTTGGACAATCTACTTCCCTAGTGATACCACCTCAGAAACCCAAGGAGGGGTTACTGTGAGTCAGATCTGACTCGATGGCAGTGAGTTTGGTTTGGTTTTGACTCCCTTAGGTGGGCCATAAGCACCATATTTGCATAGTCTCACCCAGTCATTTGATGGGAGTTGCAAAGACTGTGGCTAAAAGGACCACATTAAGTAAGAGCCCCTCTTCCCATTGTTTTAGCAGTCCAAACAGTCATCAACAGCTGGTTCTTTAGAAGGGCAGAGTCCCAGGGTGAGGTTACTCAGGTTCTAGCCATTGAGTTCTGCTACAGGTGTCCATCTGATCTGGTCAGGTTCTCCAAAAATTGTCTCGGCTTCAACTTTTCTGGTGACTGATAAATTTAACTGAGAGAAGGTTACTCCCTTGCTCTGAGCCTCACGAGTTATCAGAATAGTAAAGCCTTTCAGGGACTTTAGGTTCCGAGACTGTACTCAAGTCCAGCAGTCCCTCCCCTTAGTCCATTCTTCCAAATTGCTGCTTCTGCGGGTACAATTTTTGCAATCCTGACCCTGACGCTATCAGCATCTTCCCCCATTCTCTCTTCCCCAGATCTGTCTGGAAAAGAGAGGACTGTTTAGTGGGAATCCTCACTTATCCCCCTCGTTTTGAGACTAAGTACAACCATGAAAGCATGTCAAGCAGCCACTTCATGCCTTTTTTCCCCCTCTTTTAGATAGCCAGTGGGCCTCATTCTTTGTCCAGTGGAAGTGGTAGTAATTGATAAAAATGGTAAATGGTAGGAAGTGGATCATTGTGAGAGTTAATGATAGAGCCCTTAGTATAAGGGGCCTGGCACACAGTCGATGCTGCTATCGGTGCTATAGTAGATGCTGCACTGTAGGTGGTAGTTATTACCGGTGGACTTAACTCATTCTATAATATGTTCTGCATTTCTGGGTCTGTCTGTTCCACAACATGCAGATTGCAGTCTTTAATCTTCATCAGTAAGTGCTTCAAGTCATCTTCACTTTTAGCAAGCAAGGTTGTGTCATCTGCATATCACAGGTTGTTAATGAGTCTTCCTCCAGCCCTGATGCCACGTTCTTCGTATAGTCCAGCTTCTCAGATTATTTGCTCAGCAGACAGATTGAATAAATATGGTGAAAGGATACAATGCAGTATGCCCTTGTTGTGTTTGAATGATGGTCTCTTGGTCTATGTACAAATTCCTCATGAACACAATACTAAGGGTAAAAAATGGCTGGAAAAAATAACAAAATATAAAATTAGATTAAATGATAATAATAAGGATATGTAACAATAAAAGATTGATATTGGAAAGGATAGGGAAGATAAACTATAAAAGACAAACAAACGTACAACATTTTCACAAAAAGCAGGGGGTGGGGTAGTGAGAAGTGCAGCTCTGAGAATATGATCTTAGCAGCTATAGCTTTATAACTTACAGAATTGGCATAGTGCCTAAGGCATTTGACTGCTAACCAGAAGGCTGGCGGTTCAAACCCACCAGCCACTCCTCGGAAGGAAGACTGGACAATCTATTTCTGTAGAGAAACCCAAGGAGGGGTCACTATGAGTCAAATTGACTTGATGGCAGTGAGTTTGGCTTTTTTCCACAGACATTGGCTCATTTCATCCTCCCAACAATCCAGGAAAGCAGGGATCATAGCCTTCCGTTTAGAGTTCAGAAGACAGTTGAGAAAAGTTAAATGATACACTGGGAACACACAGAAGGAGCCAGGATTTGATTAGAGGTCTCCTGAGGCCAAGCCCATGTCCTTGTTGTTGCATCATGCAGCCTCTGTTCTAGAAAGGTAGGGGATTTAATACGATGGCCATTGTTGTCAGGTGCATCGAGTAGGTTCCGACTCAGAGACCCCTGTGACAGAGTAGAACTGCCCCATCGGGTCTTCTAGGCAGTAATCTTTACAGGAGCCGATCTTCAGGCCTTTCTCACATGAGGCTGGTGGGTGGGTTTGAACCGCCATCCTTTTTAGTTTGCAGCCAAGCACTTCACCATTACACCACCATGGTTCCTTCAGTTAGATGGTTCTTAATTAATTTATTTAGCATTTAATGCGTTAGGCCTGAGGATTGTTAAGGAGAGGTATGTCTGTCTTTCAGTTTTTGCCTATTCAAGTACCTAATGATGAAGAAAAGAGAGATCCTGTCCTCTTTGCCAATAAAGTCCGGAATATCATGGCAGAGTAAGTGTCTGTATGTGTTTATAATCTGTAAATAATTTGAAAATTACTGGTAAAAGGCATTTAACATAGTTTTACAGTTTTCTTCTGAGGCCTGCATTCCCCAACACATTTTGGTAAGTAAAATGGCATGCGCTGGGACGTTAAATATAAATATTTTCCCCATCTGTATTTACTAATGGAAATGCCTTTGCCAGGGGACACAATAACCTGAAAAGATCAGGCAGTGCCTTCTACAGGGTAGATTGGCCCACGCTGGCCCGTCAGCTAAGCCTTGTCATGGTCTTCGTGGTTTCTGCCTTGGCGTACGTACCTCTGTCTTCTCAGTCTCCATGTAGCAGCCCAGGCATATGACTGTAGCACCAAGAAGGAGAAAGCCGGTAAGAGAACAAGATGCAGAGAAAGGGGGAAAAGGTCTCCCCCATTAAGAGATGGCCATAAATTTAGGATTTAGAAACTACAAAACATAGAGCACATATTGCCTGCATATGAAGGAGCTTGAACTGGCTACTCTTTTGACTAGCTAAATCACCCTCCATCTTGTTGTAAAGGAATGTCTTATACTATGACCATCACCCAGGCAGCCTCAGGGCCCTCCACCTGTGTACCCTCTCCCCAGGCATCAACTTTCTCTGCCATTCACAGAGGTAAGTTTGGAGCTAATAGGCCAGCAGTGTTTATTCTTGTAGTGAAAATTCAGTGAGGACTCTGAATTTAAGCTCATGAAGCATGGCTTCATAGCAAGGTTATTTGTACGTCTATATCTATAGGTATCTGTCTGTCACTGTTAGGTTCCGTCGAGTTGACTTGGCCTCATAGCTACCCCATGTGACAGAGATCTGCCCCGTAGGCTTTTCTAGTCCATAATCTTTACAAGAGCAGGTCGCCGGATCTTCGCCCACAGAGCTGCTGAGTCAAACGGCCAGCCTTTCAGTTAGCAGCCAAGCACTTAACCATTGTGCCACCGGAGACAGAGAGAAAGAAAGATCAAGTCATCTTAATATTTCACGGAAGAATGCCCTTAGTTTCATAAAAGAAGAAATGCTTAAATGTTTAGCAGAACATTTTGCTACTCTGTGTACTTGGATGTGCTTGTTTCGTCTACTTTAGACTAGTTAGAAAATTTACCTTGTTTTTTCATCTTTCGTCCTCTGTCTTTATACCCAGCTATGCCCAAAAGTTAGGAAAGATGGTAAGTTCTATGAGCTAAGAGATTTACAGTAGATGTGTTGGCCTCCCAAAATGTGCCTAAAATCAGAGGAGTTTGTTGAAGCAGCTCCTTTCTGAGTTTGGAGGTGTGGAGGACAAAGGCCTTGGGTAAAAAATGAGATGTTTACTATCTGCACAGGCTTTAAACAAGTCCTCTTCAAGGCCTGTTCTCCTCATGTGTGAAATGGGAGTTATAATCCTGGCTTTGCCTTTCTCACAGTTTAGGTTATTATGAGACTCAAGTAAGAAAATATCTAATGAAAGTGTTCTGCCCGTGGGAAAGCACAGAGGAGATGTAAGGCAGTGGTACTGCCACTACAATACATATTTAGGAAGTGCTTAATATATAGACCCTTTACTTGTGTTGGAAGAGCTCTTGGGTGCTGGGGTTAAAGCACTGGGCTGCTAACCAAAAGGTTGATGGTTCAAACCCACCAGCCACTCTATGGGAGAAAGATGAGGCTGTCTGCTTCTATAAAGATTTACAGCCTCAGAAACCCTTTGGGGGCAGTTCCGCTCTGTCCTGTAGGATCTCTATGAGTCAGAATCGACTCAGTGGCAGTGGGTTTGGTTTGGGCTACTCATATTATCTGACATAATCCTGAGAGCAACTCTGGGGAGGTAAGTGAGCAAACTGAGACTCATGGGTAAATAGTAGCCTAAGATCAGACTAGATACTGAGTATCTGGGCTGGGACCGAAGCCCATATTTCCTGTTACCAAGGCCTAGGCTCTGCACTGCTGTGTGATACTATTTATTGTTATGACTCCTGAAATATTTTAAATTTTTATTTTCCATCTTACATATCCTGATGCCAAAATATTTATTCATCAAAGCAGCCTAGTTGTAGATAGAAAACAAAACAAAACAAAAAAATACTTTAATTCTGATTGCAGTCTTTAGAATTTAATGTTCCTAGCAGTGACTCAAAATCAAATAGAGTTGAAAACCTAATTTTATGATTTGCACTGAATATTTACAAACCAAAATTTAGTGAAGAAGGAGCTTCGGGGAATTATGTCATGTCACAGTCTTTCTTCTTGGTACTCAATGTTTTTGTTTTGTTTTTCACTGCTTATTAATGAATACTTTTTCTTTTTTCGTTTGACTTTTTTTTTTTTTTTTTACTTTTTTTTGTGGTAAAAACATACACAACAAGACATGCACCAATATAACAACTTCCCATGTACAGCTCAGGGACATTGATGACATTTTACATGTTGTGCCACCATTATTTCTATCCTTTTCCAAAATATTCCACCACCATAATAAATACTTATTCAAATCTCAGTATCATCAGGTCTCTGAGCAGGAAAGAGGCAGTGGAGGTTAAGCCTCCTTTGAGTTTGTGAGACATTTTTAGGTTTAGAAGAAATATCTGCAGAAGATTGTTATGTAGCAAAAAGGTGATCTCCAGTTTATAAGATCAGGAAACACATATGACCAGGGGTTTGTATAGATTGATCACCTATAATATCTACAGCAGCACTCCCATGTGTATTCTTATTTTGTCCTTATAGTAACCCTGTGGATTAAGTCAAATAGTCATTATTCCTATGTACAGATGAGAAAACTGAGGTTTAGGTTAAGTACCACCTGGTACTTTCTAATTATTTTCCATGTCACTCAAGTCAACTGTTATGATGGTTGTTGCCAAAGGGGCAGGGAGGCCACATCTTCTGACCTCCTCTAACTGCACAGGAGAAAGACAGAATCACCATCAATAGCCCAAGGCCTATTCCTGCGAGGCCAGACATGTTGCCTTCCTCCAGCCCTTTCATCAACCCTGACACCAACCGTTCCTCCCACAGCACCCACCACCTTTCTGTTGGGTTCGATAATTCACTGCAGTGGCCACACAGAACTCACAGATTATGGGGTTTAATAGGGAAGCAGCAGGCTACAATTCAAGTTCAGGAATAACGCTCAGTCTCTCTCAGCCCGCTGTCTCTCAGCCTATAGTCTCTCACAGTCTCTCTCCCATCAGTGTGTGTCTCTCAGTATCTCTCTCAGCAATGCATGTCTCTTGTGTCTCCTTCCCAGCAGTGTGTGTCTCTCAGGAGTGCGTGTCTCTCAGGAGCGCATTTCTCTCAGGAGCACGTTTCTCTCAGGAGCACGTTTCTCTCAGGAGCGCGTTTCTCTCAGGAGCGCGTTTCTCTCAGCAGCATGTCCTTCTCAGCCAACAGTTGGAGAGAGTTCTGCCTCTAGGAGGCCTCCTTTTGAGCCTGGCAGAGTGGCCAAACTAGCCAATCATAACATCAGAATTCTTAGCACCTGAGAGACTGTGAACTTCTCAGAACATTGCTTTGTGCCACTCTCAACAGAAATACCCCAGGTGGATAACTTTAATAATCAGGAGCTCCTCAGTTGCTCACAGCAAATTCCACCACGGAGTTTACAAAGACTTACGGTTAGAAAAGCCATACCGGGTAATTTACTACACCGCAGTTGTAATTAAAACACAAAACAAAGCTGATCAACTGGAAAGACAGATGCATGTGGACATAAGGAGATTAACTCAGGGCACAGTAAAGTCACTGACAGAGTAGAGAAATAAAGCTCTTACTTTTCCATCTACTGTTCTTTGTTGACCAATTCAGGCCTAATAAAAAATCATTACCTCTTTTCAACCCTGAATTTGATTTGCTTTTTTAATACTTTTAGTGCTCTGGGAATACCAGTGACAGATCACACCTATGAAGACTGCAGATTGATGATTTCAGCAGGACAGCTAACGTTGCCTATGGAAGCTGGATTAGTGGAATTTACTAAAATTAGCCGGAAATTGAAGTAAGTGTATTTCAAGACTACTGGCCCACCAGCCACTCCTCGGAAGGACGGTTGGGCAATCCTACTTCCGTAGTGATACTGCCTCGGAAACCCAAGGAGGGGTCGCTATGAGTCGGGGCCGACTCGACGGCAAAACAACAATAAAAACAACAACATGATGTCATAAAGATCTCCAGAAGAGATCTGAAACTCTGTATGTTGGGTTGGGCGATCTACTTCTGTAGTGATACCGCCTCAGAAACAACCCAGGGAGGGGTCACCATGAGTCAAATCTGACTCGATGGCAGTGTTTGGTTTGGTTTGGCTTTATTAATGCTTAGCTCTAAGACATAGTGTTGATCAGGGAAGCCAGCATTGTGAATTTGTCTCCCATTTACTCCCATCTAGTTTTAGTTTTATATGTGTTGGAGATATGTGTGTTGGTCACAGGAAACCGAGAGATAGTAATTGTGCATCAGCACAGACCCCCTTCCCTACTTGGAAATAGCTCTGAGTTGTGAGTAAGTCCTGCCACCACTTTGTTCTGAGAAAACCAGCTGCTGCCGATTCAACTCTGACTCGTGGTGACCCATGTGTTTCAGAGCAGAATGTGCTCCATGGGGTTTTCAGTGGCTGGTGTTTTGGAAGTAGATCACCAGCTCTTTCTTCTGAGACACGTCTGGGTGAATCCAAACCTCCAGATTAGCAGCAAAGCACATTGACTGCACTACCCAGGGACACTTCCTTATGAGAGGATAGCTTGATTAGATAATACTGCATGTGGTGGGCAGAACCTCCCATGTGAAATATGAATTGACTTGAATAGGAGCAGTTCTGACCATCACTGAATTGTAAATACTCTGTTGTTGTTGTTGTGTGCCATGGTGTCAGTTCCAACACGTAGCAACCCCGTGCAACAGAGCAGAACTGCCCCATAGAGTGTTCTTGGCTGTAATCTTTACAGAAGACAATTGCTAGGTCTTTTTCTGTGGAGCCACTGGGTAGGTTTGAACTGCCAACCTCTCAGTTAGCAGCTGAGCACTTACTGTGCCACCAGGGCTCCTTTCAAAGACTCTAAGTCTACCCATTTTCCTCTGGGTACCCAATCCACCCTTCACACACACACTCAACATGCACACAAAGGCAGAAAACACTCCTCTGCATTTTTAAGATCTTGTTTAAACCTTATAGAATGTTGCCTTTGAACTATCTGGTGTGAAAACTCCCCTCTTATTAAATCTCATCTGTTATCAGTCCTATTAGGGATTTGCAGAATTTATTGATTTAATTGACCTTGGCATCCTTCCTAAGAAGAAGCTACCGAATCCGTTATTGTACCTAAGTTCAGTATGAAAGTACAATACCTTGATAACTGATGTAGACAAACGTTACTTATATCTGCTAGGAAATAAAAGTGTTTCACTTTATTGTTTTGATGTTATGTTCACAAGTTTATGTGGTCACTGAAATTGAATATAGAAGTATATATTAGGTCACCTGTCTGATTCTTCTAGGCAAAGACATGCTATGATACAGTATATTTTTCAGTATTTTATCATCCTGATTTTTTGTAACTAATATTGCTGAAAGTGTGAATATGAATTCCCTTGTGACAATAATTTGCAAAATGTGAGCTCTACTTCATTATCACTCTGAAAGGTCCTGAAAACCAAAAATTGTAATTCCTATTGTACCAACTCAACAAATATTACTGACTAATTGAGTTCACCTACTCCTCACTCATCTACATGGTTAGGTTCCGCTCCAAAGATCTGGTCGTTATGCGAAATCAGTGTTACGCAAAAATGGAGGATTTTTTTTTCCTGTTTTCAGACCATTTATTTGTGTAATTTTTTTTTTAATTTAAAAAATAGGATCATAGAAATAACAGCTAAGGTTTACGGGTGTGCTCATCACTGTGATGAGTCCAGTTATGGATCATTCCTCTGCAGAGAAGGAGCCGTGGAGGAGATGAAGCTGACTATAGCTGGGCTATGGGACTGAGGGCCCATGGCTTAACCTCTCCCCCTTCCTCCTACGCTGGGTCAGATCTTCCTTCGTGGAGCCACCTCCAGGGCTCCACTCCCACCCTTGCAAGCCCTGAATTCATGATCCTGCTTTGCTTCCCAGGCTTGACGAGTCGCCCAGGCTCAGGGCTTCCTACGAGGGTGCTGGGAGCCTGGTCATGCACCCAGCCACACCCCACAGAGGCAGAGACTTCAGGCCCAATTTGGCTTACTTTGAGCTGTCATGAAAGTCACGTATTTTTTCCAAACACCTTCTGGAATGCCTCTTTCTTTCCTCTTTTTCCTCTCTTCCCTCCCCTCAACAATTTTGAGCTGCAGACTCTCAGTTCACAAAAGAGCTGGGAGCCCAGAACAGACAGACGCCTGCTGGCTCAGTGCTGCCTGTGCATCCACCTAGAGGCTGTGGCCACAGAGGAGTCCAGCCCTGTGCAGCTGCTGGACACCGCGCCCCTGCTGGCGGATGGGAGAGCAGGGCGTGGAGCAGCGTGGTCCAGCTTTTTGGAGCCCACCTGGAGACCCTCCTGAGGGAGGGGATGCTCTGCAGCCTTTACCGCCATGCCAGCTGTCTCATTAATGCACAAAATAGTTGGATAGTAGATTTTTTCACTATGTCATAAATGCACAATGCTCTATAATGAGATAGTCTATAGGTAAGGAATTAGGAGCTCTGGTGGTGTAGTGCCTAAGGCATTTGACTGCTAATCAGAAGACTAGTGGTTCAAACCCACCAGCCAGTCCTTGGAAAGAAGGTTGAGTAATGTCCTTCTGTAGAGATACCGCCCCAGAACCCAAGGAGGGGTTGCTATGAGTCAAATAGACTTGACAGCAGTGAGTTTGGGCTGGTTTTGGTTTGAGGTGTAATATTTAGATTAAAATTTGTTTTCTTATTTTCGTCTCATGAGTCATTTATTATTCCATTACATTGCTCTTCTTATCAAGTACTTTTATTCCTTTCAGATGCTTGGAATGGTTAATTAAAAATATTAAATGCCTGCATACAAATTCAATATGTATTTTTAAATGCCTATTTTATTTTCCTTTTCAGATTTAACACCATGTATTTTTCTCTTAAATAAATTAATGAATCAATGTTCACACATGCCTGTGTGAATTGTAAAGGGCTAATAGCATGCTTTTATATTTCTTGCTCAGGTTAGATTGGGATGGTATTCGGAAGCATTTGGATGAATATGCCTCTATTGCAAGTTCCTCAAAAGGAGGAAGAATTGGGATCGAAGAATTTGCAGAATATCTAAAGTTGCCTGTTTCAGATGTCCTGAGACAACTTTTTGCCCTCTTCGACAGGGTTTGTTGAAATTAAATCTTAAACATGCAAACACTTTTACTCATCAGTCTCCTCAGAGCATAATCAATATGGCAAGTGTTAGCAAAACTAGTTAGGTCAGTGTTAGAAGAACCATGGTTTCATTATTTCCCCCCTTCATTATAGTAATTATGTATGTGTGTGTATGTGTACGTTGCCTGGTTGGATTGAGATGTATTGTTTCATTATTTTTGTTTGTATCCCCTGAGTTTTGCTCTTCTGCTTTTTGGATTTTTAAAATATTTTTTAATATTCCATTTTAATTTTGGACAATCTACTTCCATAGTGATACCGCCTCAGAAACCCAAGGAGGGATCAAATAACAACAACAACAACAACATGGTACATATTTGTACCCATTCCAAAGAAAGTTATCCAATAGAATGTGGAAAGTATTGAACAATATCATTAATATCACCCGCAAGTAAAATTTTGCTAAAGATAGTTCAAAAACAGTTGCAGTGGTATATTGACAGGGAACCAGAAATGCAAGCTGGATTCAGAAGAGGACGTGGAATGAGAGATAGTAATTGCTGATGTCAGATGGATCTTGAGTGAAAGCAAAGAATACCAGAAAGATATTTACTTGTGTTTTATTGACTATGCAAAAGCATTTGACTGTGTGGATCATAACAAATTATGGATAACACTGAAAAGAATGGGAATTCCAAAACACTGAATTGTGCTCATGAGGAACCTGTATATAGTAGACCAGGAGGCTGTCATTCAAACAGAACAAGGGGATACTACATGGTTTTAAATCAGGAAGGGAGTGCATCAGGGTTGTGTGCTTTCACCATACTTATTCAATCTGTATGCATCAGGATTGGAGGAAGACTCATTAACAACCTGCAACATGAAGATGACACAACCTTGCTTGCTGAAAATGAAGATGACTTGAAGCACTTCCTGATGAAGATTAAAGACTACAGTCTGCAGTATGGAGTATACCTCAACATAAAGAAAATGAAAATCCTAACAACTGGACCAATAAGCAGCATCATGATAAATGGAGAAAAGATTGAGGTTGTCAAAGATTTCATATTACTTGGTTCTACATTCAACACCTATGGAAGCAACAGTCAAGAAATCAGATGATGTATTGCA